GGTGTTGAGGCTCTGCCCTCTCTGGCTGCTTTGCTTCCATTCATCAGCCTGCAGTTCCCCAACCCTATCCTTTGAAGCTGCAATAAATATTGATTCAGGGAAATCAATGTGTTTCCGAGGACCCGAATCGATAGCAAAGTTACAAGGATCAGGGCAAAGTCGTCCGTGCGCTAACTTCTGCGTTGCCGAGAGCCTGGACCTAAATGTACTGGCCACATAGCAAGGGGGCCAGCACCAGTGACCAGGTCCACCTAAGGTCCCAGCAGAAACCAATCCTTGACCCTCCCCTGGCCACGACGGAGCGGGCATTGACTGCACCCAGTGGCCCCTCTATGCCCCTGCCTGTGCCAAGCTCCCAGCTCCAATGATGCCTGCCTCTCCCCCGCCCCCATCTCCATGCCTGTCTGGGCATCTCTCGTGGGCACCTCAGCAGGTCTGTACCTGTGGCTCTGGGTCTAGGTCACAGCAAAGAACCCTGACAAGACAGCCTCCCTCGGGGCTCTCTGTGTGGCCCCTGCTGTCCTGCTGGCAGCGTGCCCCTGAGATGGGGAGCTCGCCGCTTCCTAAACTGCCTTTCCCATCTCTGCCCCTAGCAACACCTCACCATGGCTCCTGGGACAGAGAGAGGGCACCCTCCCCAAATGCACACTCCAGGAGGCACCCCTGCCTGCTCAAGGTCACTCTGGCTGCTTCCGGCAGCTCCATCGCCGCCACCTGGTCTGTCCCATCCATCTCTCTGATCACCTTTTCCCTGAATCGAGTCAGAACCCCGGCTGGCCCGTGGGGTCCTCTGGGACTCCATCACCCCTCCGCACATTTGCACCTGCTGCTCCCTTTGCCTGGGGCTCGCATCCTCCCTTCTCTGTCCTCTATCCATATCACACCCCCTTGGCCAGTCCTTCTCTGAGCTCCCAGCTGTGCGAACTGCCCTCCCAGAGGGCGAGGCTGGGGCCCGGGACCCTGGGAGGGTGCCCTCTGCATCTCTCCTGTGCGAGGCTGGGCAGGACAGGCTCCGGGGGTGGCATCTGGGTGGTGGATGCGTATCCTTCCCCGTCTATTTCTTGGACATTTCTTCCTCCCTCCACACCCCCCCAGCTGGTCTC